TTCAAGGCCACATTGGAAATAGCCAAGCATGGTGACACACACCTTTACTCCCAGAAAGCCAGCCTTTAATCCCAGGGAGTGGTGGTAGAAAGCAGAAAGATTTATAAGGCGTGAGGACCGGAAACTAGAAGCATTTGGCTGGTTAAGCTTTTGGCTGGTTAAGCATTCAGGCTTTTGAGCAGTAATTCAGCTGAGACCCATTCTGGATGAGGACTGAGAGGCCTCCAGTCTAAGGAGACAAGACCAGCTGAGGATCCGGCGAGGTGAGATAGCTGTGGCTTGTTCTGTCTCTCTGATCTACCAGCATTGACCCCAATAACTGGCCTTGGGTTTGATTTTATTAATAAGAACTTTTAAGATTCCTGCCACATCCTGGTATGCAGTAAAGCCAGCCGCTCTCAACCCAGTCTGCATCATCGCCACATCAACCTCCTGGATCATCACTTGATCACTTGGCTCACATCCTTCTGATGCATCAAAGATTCCATTTTAGTGGCAGCTGAAAAACAGGCCAAGGAACCAACAAAACTAACAACAACAAGATCTTTCTAGTCTAGCAGGGAATCTGCTGTGGGATGATCCTTCTGTACACTGTGAATGTGTGGTGCTCTCAATGGTTAAAAATAAAGCTGTTTGGCCTATGGGGAGTCAGGATAAGGTTAGACAGAACAATCAAACTGAGGACTGAGTGGAGGACTGAGGTGAGGAGCTGCTCAAGAAGCCAGGTGCCAGAGGACAGGTAAAGCCACAGCCACATGGCTTACATAGATTAATAGAAATGGGTTAATTTAAATGTAAGAGCTAGTTAGTAATAAGCCTGGGCCATCGGTCAAGCATTTATAATTAATACAAGCCTCTGTGTGGTAATTTGGGAAGCAGCTGCCTGGTATTTGGGACTGGGCAGCCAGGACAGAAAACTCTGCCTCTGTTTACAGGAATCCTATCTTATTTTCCAAGGAAGAGGTGCAAGAATAGCTTATGAGAAATCAGTCTAGATGGGAAGTGAAATTCCCTCCTCTCTTTAGAAAACTATGACACACATGGTCCCCAGGCCTGGTCAATGGCATCCAGCGGCTTCTTCCTACCTCCTACTTCCTTCTCTCACCTCCTTCAGCCCAGAAGAGATTTGTGGAAGGCTGCAGAAAGCATTTCTTCCTCTTTTTAATGTGTTTGATTTTGAATTATGTGTATCTGTGTATGGGTGAGTGCCTGTGGAGGCTGGGGCATGCAACCCTCTGGAGCTGGACTTACAGGCAATTGTGAGCTGCCGGAAAGAGGGGCTGGAAACTGAACCCAGGTCCTCTGTAAGAGCAGTGTTGGCTCTTAACCACTGGGCCACCTCTCCAGTCTCCAAACAGCATTTCTTAACTAATTCTTTTGCTGGCCCTCCACACTTGTGACCCACGAGCATCCTGCCATCCTATCACTCCTTGGTCTCTGACTCGGCGCTCTCTGCCCCTGCACCTCTATCCATCCACCCCCCCCCCTACTTTGCGTTGCTCTTCCATTTCCCCTTTCCTTCTCACAGACCAGCATTTACCTGTCAGAGTTCTATTCACGCTTGAAAGGCTTTCCCGGAGCTTCCTGTAGGAGTCACACTGGGTTAATGTATGTCTACAATGACACACACCTTAGTGTATCATTACCTGGGTCCTCCCTCCTCAACTAGATTATAGATTCCAAGAAAGCTCTGTGTCTCGTTTTAACAGTGAGAACCTGGCACGTTTGTACCTTCATAAACACCGTTTCTTTTGTGAAAAGCCTGCAGCTGTTGGGAGGATTAAGCAATAAAACGAACAGACGAAAGAGGCTCACAGCATTGAGCACAGTGGCCAGAACAGCAGGTGTCTATTACAGGGCGCTGAGGATGGATGAACCAGGTAAGCCTGGATTTTCCTATCCCAGAATTTTAACAAAATGAACACTTGGTGATGGTTGCCATCCTGAAATGCATACTGTGAACTTCCAGTTACCTGTTTATATGGGGGAAATGGTGGCCAGTTGGTTTCATTAACTCTGAATGTATCCAGTCTTGTCTTTGGAAGGAGATTTTTTTTAATTATTGGAACACTTCAGTTGTGTTTCCCTTGGGGAACTATTTACAGTGTTACTCACCCTAAAGAACATCAGATGGGAGTCTTGAAAAAATACTCCATGGTAGTGAGACTGGCTCCGGATTTAAACAGAAACACGAGGAACGGACAGAGCGGTGAGCACAGATCCCGCAGAGAAACTACATCTAGGGACTGGAGATGGAGATGTGGGTACTGATCCACCCAGCCACATCTACCTCCCTCTTTCTCTTCTTCCCTCTGTCCCTCCCTCCATCCATCCATCTTCCCTCTTGATTTTTTTCCTCTCTCACTTGCTTGGGCAGCAAGAGCAGAGAGGCTCTGGGCCAATAACTCTTCAATCCATTTTTCTCTTCCCTCAGCCAGAAATTCTATAGGAGCCGGTTCCTGTCTTACAGTGACGGCATTCGCTTTTCTGGTTTATTTCTGCTCCCTGGAATTATGAGAATTCACCACTTCCCCACCTCCAGTCCTGCTGCACAGATTGCTTTCCCTGGTTGCTGGGATGGTGCAGGACCTTAGACTCCTGTCAATCATCTCATCTCACAGGCGCCAACGAGCTCCTTAAAGCTACCCCATGATCTCTTTCCATAGTACTTTGCAGCAGTTCACTTATATTTTCTCCATCCTTTTAGTATT